GCCTGGGTGGCTCAGTCGGTTAAGCGTCTGGCTTAGGCTCGGGTCATGATCCCAGGGTCCTGGGATGGAGCCCCGAGTTGGGCTCCCTGCTCAGCGGGGAGTCTGCTTCTCTCTCTGCCCCTCCCCCTGCTCATGCTCTCTCTCTCGCAAATAAATAAGTAAAATCTTTAAAAAAAAAAGTAAAATAAAATAAAATAAATCAATGTGGGGATGAGAACTACAGCACTGGGAATATAGTCAATAATACTGTAATAATTTTGTATGGTGATAGATGGTTACTACAAAAAAAAAAGAATGATTGAACATACTGAAATTTGATTTCCACCTTTTCAAGAACCCTCAATTTCATTAAAAAAATAAATAAATAAAACAGGGCCCATATCATACCATGTAACATTTTTAGACTTCATTTTGTGTCTTTTGTTAATCACCTTGAATTCTGAATGACTATCTTCTGGCCTACATTATGTTTTAGATGCTATTTCTCCTCAACTGTGTAAATATAGTAACAGTTCCTGATTATCTCCCTATAGACCTTCTGCTACTCCATTTTACCCTTCTACTGCCACCATGCACCCTCCAAATGCTGCTAAAATTCCTTCCAAAGTCAAAGTGGAATGATGTTTTGATTATACCAAGTACACTGTAAATTCCTGGTGGTCAGGGATGATGACATACACATTTGTATTATCTAGCATAATGTGAAGCACATTCAGTAAACACATAATTGACTGACATAAGTTTTTGGATAATCCAGTGGCTACAAATATGGGTTAAAGAGACATCATGCCTAAGTTCAAATGTCAGTTCTACCACTTATTACCTGTGTGACCTCAGGCAAGTTGCTCTGGGTCTCAGTTTCCTCATCTGTAAAACAAGGTTAATAATAGCATCCACACAGAGTTGTTCTGAAAATTAAATGAGATAATAATCTATTAGCACAAGGTCTGGCCCATAATAAGTGCTCAAAAAATATTAGCTAGGATGAGATTATATCATTACTATTATTAACTATTCCTATTCCTGCCATTCATCATAATTCCTCCTGTCCTTTTTCTAAGTGAATTGGAAAATTCTCCAAATCTGAGGGTTCAGTGAACATCTTTTTTTGAGAAATATCTGCTACATAAATAGTAAATCATCCAAATCCCATTAACTCTAGGTAATTTTATTTAATAATCATATTTTAAAAGTTGGACAAATAAATAAATGGCAGAGCAATTTTGATTAAATCCTGTTTTCTCAATGGCTATTTGGAATATATCATTCATATGCAAGCCCCAAGAATATTGAATAACAGATAAAATAAATAATGATCATAATGCAAACCACATTCTGATTCCCACTTCCCTGCAAGTACAACTCCATGTAAGAATTTTAAGAGCCAAAAAGTAACATGCTTATTAACTGTGGGTTGCTCAGCTATATACATAGGGCTTAGCAGATCACGTGATTGTTTCCATATTCTCAGTTAAGCTAATGGTTCCTTAGAGCCCAGTTCTTATAACCCTTTAAGAATTCTAAGATTTGCCTGAAAAAGTGTATCATATTTCCATGACTATGACTGAACACAAATTTGGAAAGCTCACTGAAAGCAAACCATCCTGGAAGACAGGAAATGGTCATTGTTTTCAAAGAAAGTCAAGACGCTCCTGCACATAGGGAATCAAGCTCTTAGAAGCTTGAACTCATTTCCCTCCACATAAACCTGTATATGCTGTGGGGATAGACCCTGTCTTTCACCTCTCACATGGGTAGAAGGGAAAAAGAGTAAGGTCACTTACCGTTTGAGGTTAAAATTTAAAAAAATATTTTATTCAAAACTGCCATATAAATGCATCCAGAGAAACATATTCCCTCCTTTTTGCACATTTAATTTCATTTTAAAGTATTCAGGGACTTAGAGGGATTCTGGACTTGTAATAGGCAAGTTGTAAGCCTTTGGGAAAGCCTGTCAAAAGACTCAGGTTTAAAATGTCATTTCCTAGATACACGGTGTTTTCTGCAGCAGAGCTTAGTGCAACTTCCACTAAGAAAAGTTGCTGCATTTCATCTTTTCCTCATGAACAAAAATAATTACACCAATAGTTTCATTGATTTTTTTTTTTAAATTCTTGGGAGTAAAATGTCATGGAGCAAGTCTGAGACTAGGAGATAAAAATTCTGGTTCAAGTCCCAACTGGCTGCTTTAACCAGAAGTAGACAGGGTAGGGAGCACCAAGACTGCCCAACCACTGCAGAGGACTAATGTCTGTCAGTGGAGCTCTACATTTGGAAAGCAGTGAAGACCAATATAAAGTCTTTGTAAAAAAAAAAAAAAAAAATCTGTATTTAAAATCCATTTTGAATGGCTTGACTTCAGTAGTCAAACCAGTGGCGGAGCAGGGTCGGCCTAAGTATTTGGATGGAGACTCACTACAGCACAGCCTTTACAATCCATGCTCAAAGTCCTTTTCTGGCACAACCGTCTTCGAATGAAGTCCTGAAGGGTTGAAGCCTATATTAAAATCTCTAATATGAGAAGAATTACAGCAAGGTTACAGTATAATTAACCTGAGTTATCTTTCAAAACTCTTGCTGATATATATTCTGCCACTTCCGACTAGGCTCATGCTGTGATTTTTAAAATTAGCAGAGAAGGAGGCTTTCATATTCATTCACACTGAAAGGATAAAGGAACGTTTGCATAAAAAGAAAAAGGTGGTCAGCGCTTTCTATTATTTTATTCTTTTAACAGTTGTTTTGGTTTTTTGTTTTTGTTTTTGTTTTTTTTTTAATGGCGGCTCTATATGGCAAAGCCTTATTCTGTCCACTTTCTAGTCTGCAGAAAAGTCTGTTAGTCTTATTTAAGGATCATGGTGATTCCCTTCACTGCTTGGAGGAAAAAAATAAAAAAGCAAAATCGGGGCTATTACCCTGTGTTTATAACAAGTCTATTACCATAGTAACGACTGTGATGTCACAAACCCTACACCAAGGGCCAACTTCTGTTCCTGACGAGGGAAGGGCAGCTTAGCCTTGGAAATCAGACAAAACCGTACACAAACATGTGTGGCCAAAGCAGGGACAACACTTGTGGTAATCACCAAAGCACAGGGAGCTCCCCTTCTCTGAAGAGAAGTGGGGGCAGCAACAGAAAAGCAATTCCCCAGGCCCAGAAATAAGCTACACCCACACTTCTGTATGCAGCTGTGCAAAAGGAGAGTAGAAATCCAAGCAAGTGTGGTGTCACCATGTTCCCAATCACAAGTATTCCACTGGGCACACTGGCTGCCAAACATGGATGGGATCCAGTGCTAGCCCGCCCCAGCACATGAAACACACTCTGGAACCAGTGCCCAACCAGATGGAGCCCTCTGGTACCTCGGAGGGGCAGCAACTTGCCTCATGATGGTGAGCATTTTAAAACGAGGCTGGGATTTTACTCCTACTAGGTCATCCCAGTTCACAGAATCACAGATTCTCAGGTTCAGAGAACTCAAGTCTCCCAAAAGATGTGGACTTTAAAAAATAACCGTTTACAGAAACACAGTGTATCCCCTGTCACTGGGGAATCTAAAGTAGCAGACTAATAAGTATTCTTATTCTGATGCAGTCTAAGGAAGTGTTGTACAAATATGCTGAAAAAACAACTTTATATTAAAAAGGATATTGAATCAGGAGTCAGAAGACATTGGTACTAGTCTTGGCTCAAGTACTTAGAAGTCACCTGACCTTGAGAAAGCCATTTAACCTATTTGACCTTCAGTTTTTTTATTTAACTATATCTAGCATGCTATTTCCCAGGGTTGTTGTGAAGACCAAATCAAATCAAATAATGAATGTGAATGCGCTTCATGAACTATAAAGGATTTAATACAAACATATGGTATTATTATTGTCACATGGCCAGTTTACGGTAGAACAGGAATAATTTAAATGCTAACAGTTATTTTCTTTCTAGGAATCCAAAACATACATATGATCCCTGTCTTCCCCACCCAAGAGGTGGACAGTTGCATGATACAGTCAGTTCTAAATTATTCAGGGGCTGATTATCGAGGGGCCTTTTACTTCTAGCTATTGTACCATTTATTAGTTTCCCTTGGGAATGCCATGTTAACCTACGTACGGCTATAAAATTGACAGGGAATGTGCCTCAACTCAGTTACCCTGAATAATAACCCTGGTAAAAAGTTTTAACAAAAGGAGGAATTGAAATGATTAATTAGATGAAAGTTTTTGGGTAATCTGTGGGCCTTACTTATCCATGGATAATTATTCACATCACTGTCATAACGCTATAGTCAAACTCTGACAGGTTGGGACTAAGCCAGCCAAGATACTAGCATTTTCTCAGTGAACAACAGCGTGGCCCATACCATCTTATGCATGTGCAGTAGGGATTTGAATATCAGCCATTCATTCAGTTTTCAACAAACATTATTGGAACACCTTCTATGTGCCAAAACTCACACATACCCTGAAAACCCCACCATCTTCCTATCCATGTTGCTGTCCCTTATGATATTACATAGAGCACTGTGGCAAAGCTCACGGCCTGACTCTCAGAAACTCTATTCAACTTCTTACTATCATGAAACTTTTGCCAATCTTATCCTAGTGCAAAAATCAGCAACCTATGGTCCTGGGGCCAAACCCTCCCTGCTCTTTTTTTTGTAAATGATTTTTTATTAGAACACAGCCACACCCATTTGTTTATGTATTACCTACAACAGCAGAATTCAGTAGTTCTGATAGAGACAGCACAGCCCAGAGCCTAAAACACTATCTGGCCCTTTACAGGAAAAGTCTGCAGACCCCTGCACTAGATAATATGACTAAATCAAAATTCATCTCTCCTGTAAGTGTTTCTGTTTAGGGATTAATGGAGAAAACTCCTTGAAAGTGGAGAACCTTTCTGATTCTTTGTCTTGTCATATAGAACCTTGGAGAAGCACAGAGTCAAGGTTTAGAGCAGATACAGAAAATTAAACACGTCCTTCCCCACATTTTGTTTTCAACAGATGAGTGCTTTGGAGTTGCATGAAGACAGCATAAAACCACTGGTGTTCAGTTACTCTGGCTTCTAATTCCTCTGAGTTCCTATGTCTAAGACTTCCAAGGCTCAATTTTTGGCCTGTATCCCTTTGCATATTTATTTCCTGATCTGATGTGGAATTAGAGTTAAATGGGAGCTGTGTGCTTGAATTCCACGTGGCTGGCTCAGCAGGAAACTCCAGGGCAGGTTTTTTGGCATGCCAAAGTCATGTTAGCCTCAGCTATGCTAATTTCTAAAGCTGTTTGCTTTGCTCAAATAAATCTTAGAAGGGAATTTGCATTTGGATGCACACCTTTTTATGCACAAATTATGTGCATGATAATTCTAGGGCAGACTAAGGACTGAAAAAAAAAGAGGCATGGTGTTTACTGAATGGCTTTAGTGTGGCAAGCACTATGCTAGGTGCTTTACGTATATTTTCTGATCTCATGGCCACAATCCTATGAAATGAAACTGTGGTCCCCTTTTTACAGATGGAGAAACTGAGAAGAAAAGAGCTTATATAACATGTCCATGTTCACAGAGCTGATAAGTGACAAAGCCTAGATTTGAGCCCAATCTGTCTAAATCTGTCTAAATCTGAGGCCAGTGTTCTTTCCACTTAGACACACTGCCTTGCTGATCCCATTTATCATCACCACTCACCCAAGCCACTGGACACACATTGGAATATGAACCCTACATTTACAAAATTAGTCACCCCTCCCCTTCCCAGTGGCCTATGCAAAGTATGTCTTTGGTCCTTGGGAGATACATCTGGGTCCCTCTGCATCAAAAAACAATCAATCAGAGGAGAATAGGGGCATTAAAAAGGCAAACTTTACGTGGTACACAAATGATATTAGTAATTAGATAAACACAATTTCAAGTGATTTTGACAGGTAAATGAATTTTAACGCCATGTCTGAGGACCTCAATACGAAAGGAAACTTTTACTACTAAAATGTAGTAGGCTAAGCAAGAGAATGTACCCATACTATGAAGAAAAATGTTAGTAACACTTAGAATATGGTGTAAATATATCTATAACATAAGCCCAGGAATTTATATCTATAAATATCTTCACTGTTTATGGAAACATAACCACACACCTATCTCCCCCCACCCCCAAAAATACAAACATTCCCTTCAGTAGGTTATAGTAAGTACTGCCATCAAAACTCACTATTTATCATTGTTCAACTCAATATACAGAAAAATAACCAGTGTAGCAATTAAGCATTCTAGCATAATTCTAACATTTCACAGCAAGCCAGATACAATATTATTGAACTTCTTTCTCTGTATGGAACACAGCTGTAACCTAGCTTCTATCACATAATGCTCAGCTTCATACACTGCCATCTGATTTTCTGGAAATATTAAAGAACTGATTACATTTGCATACAAGTGAAATTCAGACATCCATTTTTCTTTAAAGCTCTCAAAGAGAGTTTTGCACGAATTAGAAAGAACTCTGTGGCAGAGATGGATAAAGGCTGTTTCTAAGAAGGGCAGCCCACTCAGGAGACCTGGCCCTCACAACACCACCACATGATTCAGTTAGTCGGTATATAAAATTATTTCACTTTTTTTTTTATTTTTCACAGATGATTTCAGAGAAGGAAAAAGTACTTTTTTTAGCCAGTGGTAGGAAAAATTCATTCAGTTGAAAGTAGATTGGGGACTTTGCCTGAGTTTGCCTAACAGAGTAATGCTACTTCAAATAACACATGCACTAACATCTCTTGTCTACAAAGTTCCTACAACAGTCTTTTCCAAAGGTACCTTGGGCATTTAATAATTATTTATAAGATAATTACAACTTTCTTTGAATAGTTCTCATTGGAAACCCCAGTAGTGACTTACCTGCTGGTGGCTTTATGAAAGGTGGAGGAATTAAAGGTACAATAATGGGAACATTGCCATGATCCTTGGACCCTGCAGGTGAGTCACTGAGTCCATTTCCTGTGGCAAGCCCTGAATAGCCTGTGCTTATATTGTATGGTGAAATAACACTGTCCTCAGGTAATTTTGGTTTTGGCAAAGAATTTTCTGTAAGAGAAAAAAAAGCACATTCAGTATTATAAAAGGACTTGTTTTCCTTCTGACCACATTTTCTCAAGTGAAATGGCTATGTAACAAAACAAATTTTTCCTTGCAGATCTTTACCAGAACTCCACAGACCATCCTGGACCTTTTTAGTCTTGTTACCATAAATTTCCAGGGGGCTCCTTTACCATTTGCTCCACTATGATAGCTAATATCTCAATTGTATCATGGTGATGAATTTTAGCACTGTGAAAGCCCACAGAAACTTGAGAGGCAATTAACCTTTTCCATGTACAAAGGGATAAATAGCAGACATCACCCTCTGGCTACCAGGGGGGCAAGCTAAAAGCAGGCCCCTCCAGTCCTATCACTAGGTCCCACTGTATTAAAAAGTTTGGTCATAATATAATCAGAAGAACCAATGAGAAAGAAGCAGATTATTAGAAAGAAAACTTGTTTCATAGGGTAAACTCTTTAAATCAACCCATTAATATCCATTAAATATTAACAAAAATGAAAATAAAGAAAACTTACAATGATAGGAACTTTGTGAATTTTATCCTTGCATGTGAATCATTTAAAAAAAAAAATTCAACCATGGAAAACAACTTTTTCCCTCTAGTAGCATATCCTGGCACTCTCTCCATGTTCCCCAGAGGCAAAGATTATTACCTAGACCAAGTATTATACGAGCTATTAGTTTATAGAATATAAACTCATGACTTGCATTTTTCATTTACAGTGAAATTGATGATATTATCTCTGTAACATGATGTGTACAATTTCATAGCGGGCTTAACATGAAATTTGTCACATACATTCAATTCCACATGCCTGCAGGACAGCTCATTTACATTTTGTTGCTTGGCATGTAAGAAGGAAAAGCGCTATCTTAGAGACTGGAAATAAAATGCATGAGCAGGTAGTTTATGCCAACAGATTTCGAATGCAGTGCAAACACTGATCAAATTGCCAATGACGATGCACAATGAATTTTATCCACATTTTATTGAAGTTCACCAAATGGATTGCTTCTTTACATCCTCCTTTTCTTTGACAAACAAACTCTCACTCCAAATTTATGTTCATAAATTCAGTATCCATATCAACACCCACCGATGGTTCTAGGCTTCCCTCATGAGATATCTGACACTGCTATTCACTGACAGAATCAGTGTTAATTCAACTTGGCCAAGGGTCTAATTTCCACTCTTTAGCTAGGCTTTGATGAAAACTCTTATAAAATAATGTAGGATCCAATCATGCACTACTCTCTTACTCCTCTACCCTATCCAAGGCTGCGAGCAGGAGGAATTTCAAACACAAAACAGAAATAAGGCCTTCCTTTAGAATTCCCACCCAAAAAAGGAGGAAGAGGGGATTACCAAACTAACCACAATTCTCTCTTAAGGTCTAAAAATCCAAACCCAGTATTTCACTTAATAGAAAGTACCAGTTCCCAACAACTAATATACCAAAGACTCAGGAAATTAGGAGGAGAACTTAGCAAACACTGTCCCTTTCTATAAATCTGTGTGCAGGACCATAGCCCTTAAAGTCCCTAACCCTCACTAGCTAGCTCTTCCATCGCTTGAAGGAGATTAAGTTGTGTCTATTTTTGTTTTATGTTGTGCTCTTATATTCTGTGGAATTCTGCTTATGGGAAAGCACTACTGGGGTTGTACATTTAAATCAACCATTGGCATAATCAACAAAATGAGTCCCAAAGCAACTCAATTCTGGCAGGTTGAGATAGTTAATCCTTCTTTGCATGAACAAAGGGACATTAAATGTCATTACCTTTGAGAACAGAAATGTGCTGCCGGCTCTCTCCATCTGTAGGGTAGCTCCTGAATTCAATATCTTCACCATCTTTCAGTTCAACCTTATCATAGCCATACCAGCCAAGGAGTTCATTCATAGTGTTTTCTGCAAAGTTCTGAAAGAGAAGCATAGGCTTCTTTTTTATATAATCAATAACTATTTGAAAAGAATGCATAAATCGAATTCCGTTTGCACTACCCATTTACTACCAGACCTGCCCCACCTCCACTAGAGTCCTGTTCATTTTTCAAATCACGTTCAAAAACTGTAATGCATTTAAATCTCAGGATGACGCATCCAATTATGACAGGCCTTCAGACATTTGCAATTTAAAGATAATAAGAAGAAAAGGTATTTGTCAGTCTTGCTTACAAATAGGAAGTCATATTTTAGAATATTCTGCAAAGTCTATATCCCACACGAGCACAAAAATATTGAAAGGTAAAGCACAAAAACAGCTAAGAAAATATTTTGAAAATGAAAACAATTAATTGACCTTTTTGTGGTTCAGATTGATTTAAATTAGAATTGCTTTCTGATTCAGGTATTGTTTTTTAACATAACTCTTATCTCAGATAAAGCAAAGTCTCAGCCAAGAAATAATTTCGCAGTTGTCAAGGCTACAAGGGTCTCCCTTTTTAATTTTCCATTTTTCAAGTGTATACTTTAAAAATCAATGCACAATTTGCTTTACAAATTTCACTAGTGACAGATTCTTTCTCCATAAAATGAAAGGTCGCTATGATTGTCTTCTGACAAGTAACATAAAAGTACCAAATAACCTTAAGGCTAATAGCCCAGATTTTAGAGAACACCTGAAAACACTTTATGAACTATAAATCAATATATAAATGTAAGATACTATTATTGTTGTTATTATAGATACCAAACTGTGAAAATGATGGGTATAGTTGGACAGCTTTAAAGCTTTACTATCAGGTGACTATTTTTTTGTGACCTTATCAACTGCTAGATCTGGAAACAAGATGTGAGACTGTATTAATGATCTTAATGCTTGCATGTGCCTTAAAATATCTCTGAGAAATAGAGTAGAGTGGTAGTCACCAGGAGTTTGGGGGGTGAGGGAAATGGGGAGATATTGGTCCAAGGGTACAAATTTCCAGTTATTAGATTAACAAGTTTGGAGATAAAATGTACAACATGATGATAGCTAATACTGTATCATATACTCAAGTGTTACTAAGAGAGTAGATCTTAACTGTTCTCACCACAAAAAAGAAATGGTAACTATGTGACAGGATGGAGGTGGTAGCTAATGCTACATGGTAATCATTTTGCAATATATAAATACATCAAACCAGCCCATTGAACACCTTAAACTTACACAATGTTATGTGTCAATTATATCTCAATGAAGCTGAGGAAAATTTTTTAAAATAAAAAGAAGGGCTCTATGCTGCAGAATAAGGGCTTCATAAATATTCAACGAATTAATTTTTTAAAAAAATCTCTATCTGGCAAGGCATCCTGAGCTTCCCAGACTTGCTAGAAAAACTATATATTCTAACCTTCTCTGTGGCTCAAAGAACCTTTTCTCGTTCTCCCTAGAAGCTGTCATTTCCGAATTACACTGGGATGTATAATTTATATACCTGAAACAAAGCACCCAGGCCAAACCAAGAGTGTGCACAGCCTCGACGTGTGAGTTCCTGTTCTCTTGAATTTCATGACTTTAGATTTCAGCAGGGGGTGCGTAAAAAAGAAAAGATATTACACTACTGACTCCACAAAAACAAACTTGGCATTTCAAACCACCCACAGAATGCTAGGTTCTTTGCTTTAGTGCCCACTTAAGCTCAGAGTTCCAACTGGGTCTATCTGTGACAGAATAGTGCACCGGCAATTTAAAAAAATCTAGCCAGATTGATTCAGTGCTACCATCCACAAGGCCAACAGTCAGCCATATCAAGCTTTAGTGAGGCATTTATTCTCTCTGATGGCTGGTCATGTCCACATTAAATAGACATTCTTTTCATGAATGCACAAAGATGATATGATCGATATGTATAATAAGCTCAGCAACTTCTGGAATACCACTGAGGAGGACTCAGCTAAATGCTGCTCTACTCAATCAAAAGAGATCCCTTTAATGGGGCGTCAGTCTCCCCTAACACCCAATTCTTTTCACTAAGCTAAGCTCCTGGACCAGAGAATGACAGTCGCTAAGCACACAAATCGAGGCCCTCCATCAGTGGTCTGGCAGCAGAAATCTCCAAGGATAAGGATTACACCTTACATCAAAACACCAATTCCCAACAGTGTTAAAAGCCAAGTTCAAGCCATCCTATTGGTCTGTGTGCTATTTACCCGAATCTCCAAGAGAACTGTGCCAACGAGAGAGAAAATCTTTTGCATAGTAACTCTCGGCCACCATATCCAATTTTCTAGACCGTTTGTATCTGGGCGCCTCTCTCTCTCTGGTTCTGTCTAACCTCTGAAGTGACACAAAGGCTACAGATGCATAATTCATGGAACAACCTCCCAGCCAAGGATATAGATTTGTTTGTTTTAGTCCAGCTGCAAATCCATTCAGCTTTTCAGAACCAATCCCAGGGATGGAATCCAGAAGTTTCAGACATTAGGGTAAAAACTGAAACCTCAACTGGATTATTAACACCAAATTCATATTACTGGGGCATCTTAACTGCATCACTTAGTTTATGGTTTGTGCTGAAAACTCAGAGGCTTCATGGAACAATCAATATGAACTTGATCTATTCCATGATTTTCAAGTTACTATAAATGTCAATGAAAATAAACTCTAAAACATTTCCTTTCTTGTCAGTGAAAATAAAAATAAACACCTTAGTGCTTTGATACATGCCTGCAAAAGCAGAAAACAAAAGGTTTATAAACCTTCAAGCTATAAAACTCAAATCTTTCATGAAAGGAGAAGATGAAAGAAAGAAAAAAATGAACGCCAAAGTTTCTTGGAGCATATGAAATAGACTATTACTTCTGTCTTATACACTACTGTATTAAGAAATCAAAGAACCCCAAGGAATAGATAATTTAAGATTTTTAATTGCTAGGTAGCATTTGACGCTAGGTATCATATGGGCTCATTATGATACTAAACCAAAGGAAATAGATTTTTGCAGTTATCATCCAAGAAACATAACATATTCTAGAAGAAGTAAATTTAATGTTTATGGCCCATAAGGGCTTTCAAATCCTTCTGGTAGAAAATTCCAGCAGTTGTTTCTTCCACATTTTTTTGTACTATTACCCTTAAAAAAGGAGTTTTTTATTTAAAAAAAATATTCCTTTCCTACAAAAGTTTCTCATGCATGTTATTTTTTTAAAAAAGGTGATAAACTACAGAGATTTTTGAGGTAAAGATGTTCAATAATAAGACAGGTTACTGTACCAAGGGAGGTACTGAAATTTGTTCCCCCCCAAATCTTCACCCAGCAAATGTCCTAGAAACAGGATGGGAAAATGAAGTCCCTCAAGTTCTCTCCCAGCAGTAAGATTCTGTAAAATCAAAGAATTTTTACTTACACAAGAAATTAAGTACCTTTTGCAAAGAAATATCATAATTATCATGATCACACATCATAATTTTTACTGAAGAGTTACTATTTCAAATATTTTATCATTGCTCCCATAAACCATGAAAATTGTGCCAGAAATTTCAATATTCTGGCATCTGAATCGCATTTTGCAGACTGCCTCTCACCCTTGGAAGTGGCACAAAAATCCTCTCTCATACCATGTGGTCCAATTTGGGTTTGGAAAATAGGTCACTATAATTATAATGATAATGTCTAACACTCTTACAGCCCTTTACAGTGTTTCCACATCCTTTAACTCTCTTGTTCCTTTCAATAACCCTGTAAGTTGGGTATTTGATTTCCACAATAAACTTCTGATGAACCTATATGATACCCTCATTTTACAACAGAAAATTAGAGCATCCAGAAAGTAAATGACAGGCATGAGACATCACCCAATAAAGTCAAAACAAAAACACAGATCTTCTGATTCTTATACCAGGCCTCTTTCTACGATCAATTCCGTATAGTCCAGTGTGTCAGCAATTCCAAAGAAACTACCTCCTTGGACCAATCAAAGAGTTGCAAAGAAATCATACTACAGGATGTCAACATCGCGTATAAAGAGCCTTCCAACTAGGGCCTCTATCTACCTATGTTAAAACTTCACTTAACTTGCTTTCGGATTTGATCATTGGCCTCTATTCTCTTTAATTATTTGTATTGTTGGGGGGGTTGTTCAAAATTCACTGTTGAAATTTAATCTTCTCATTTTATAATTTTGGGGCATTGTATCTGATTCTAATCGCTTTGTACTTTTTTTAAAAAGATTTTATTTATTTATTTATTTATTTATTTAGAGAGCGCATGAGCAGGGGGAGGGGCAGAGGGAGAGAGAGAGAGAGAGAGAGGGACAGAAGAAGACTCCCCACGGAGCAGGGAACTAACACGGGCCTCCAGCTCACAACCCTGAGATCGTGACCTGAGCTGAAATCAAGAGTCAGACGCTTAATGGACTGAGTCGACTACTCAGGCACCCCTAATTGCTTTGTACTTTTAATATTTACCCCCATACTTCTTCCTTACCCTCTCCAATTCCGCTCTCTCAATTCCAGGGCTCCTAAGGAAAAAAGACATTCCTAACATTTAGTCTGAAAGCATGAATTTAAAAAAAAATAGGTCACAGAAAGATGATGGAAAGGCTGGAAATTTTACTATTTCCCCATTCCTTCTGATTTCTTTTGATACTGGCAAAATATATTTTTGTTGAAACTTAATTCCCAGGACATTCATTAGATTCTCTCCTTATTTACCTGGAAGTACTATACAAAAGTCAAAGTTCAGTCTAACTGATTTTTCATTGAACATTTTACCGGTAAATAAAAAGAGTTAACTTGAAGACACTTTGAAAATTGCAGTAATTACAAATTCTCACAATACTTCTGAAATGCAAGTACTTCAAGGTCTTTGAAAAGGACTAAGGATTTTATTTTGAAAACACCAAACAGATTTTAAAATATAGGTAGGTACCAGGGCACCTGGGTGGTGCAGTCAGTTAAGCGTCCCACTCTTGGTCTCTGCTGGGGTGGTGATCCCG